ATAAAGTTAGATATGAGTTTAGTCAAAATAAAAAAAAAAAAAAAACTATTAAACTAATTATTTGGATATTATAAATAGTTATAAAGAAAATCTCTTTTGAGATTAAAGTTAAAGTAAAAAGAATATTTCAATTAGGCAAATCAATTTTAAGAAGAGATTGTTATTTTTGATTAACTTTTTGAAGAAATCTTGAATTATTATTTTTTTTTTCTTTCATTATTCAATTTTTTCTTTTTTAACTTAACAATTTATAATAATGAACCTAGAAGATAGAGATCAAACCACTCTTCTAGAAAAGTGAAATATTGTTTTCTAAACTTGACTTAGAGTATTTAGGTGCAATAACAAGTTAGTTACTTTTATAAAAATCTGTAATATTGTAGTTAGTTCTCAATAAAAATAAGCCAGGCAGCAATAGTTGCAGGTAAAAAAAAAAAATAATAATAGAAATTAACAATTAAATTGTAATTTTTTTTGCCACTACTATATTTTTATAAATTTGTTTAATCAATAAATAATTCAAACATAATAATCATCGATATACAGTATTAAAACTGAATTGCAAGAATAAAAATTATCGATTAGGTTAAAATCCAAGGACCTTCCTTATATAATATGACGCATAAAGTTCACCAATCATGCTAACGAACAAGAGGATCATATATTTATTTAGTTGTAATATTGACACCAGGTTTTTTTGAATTAATGTAATGTCGAAAAACATACTTGCTATTGGCACGTCCGGTCTTGGAAAAACGACTCTTTGCCGTTTACTTTGTGATGGTAACGTTAATGGTTCAGATGGTTCCGAGTCAGCAACAGAAGAAGTAGTTATTCATGAGGGAAACGGATTTCGTTATATCGATACCCCTGGTCTCGATGACTCACACGGAAAGACTGACGAGGACATATTTTGTGAAATTCTGCGTAAATTCCAAAACAATAGTACAGATAATAGGTTCCAGGTTGACATTATTTTATGGTTTTGCGAAGACAATGTACGCGAATTAAATCACTTTCAAAGAGCGGCCAAGTTTATACAAAGATTTATAGAATATACAGACTATGATTATTCGGAGAACTTATGGAACAGCGTCTTGATTGTATTTAAGTCAGTCAATTCTGTAAGCGGACCTAAATCTGCTGCTAAGAAAGTCTGCCAATCATTTTCTCAAAAGAAAAACATCACATTTAACGATGACAGGTTCTCGGTTGATAATTTTCCGTGTTTGATTTATGACCTTGATAAAAATTCGAAAGATTACAAATTTTGGGGTAAACATACTCCTGAAGATCGAAAAATGTACAATGTCTATTGTCAACACGAAGTTAGGTCAGAACTTATCCGATTAATTTCAAACCGTAAACCGATTCATATTTGCTTCGTACAAGCGAGATGCCGTAAATGCAATGCAAAAGGAGATCCTAGACTTTTTGATGGATTATGCCATGAAAATCCAATTTTAAATCACCAAATAGAAGATATAATTTATCACCACAGAGATTTTGGGTACTATCACAGTGAGGCTTCCATTCTAGAACACGAGCCAGATTTATCCTTTGTTGAAAATCTTCAAGAAACGCAAGCTGGGAATGTCATCGAAACAGTTGGGAGTGTTGCGAAAGTTGCTGGGAGTGTTGCGAGTGTTGCTGGGAGTGTTATAAGTGCTGGGAGTGTTGCGGGTGTTGGAAATGTTGCAAATAGTGGGACTGTTGAGAGTGGGTTATTAGCAACTGCTTCGACAATATTACTTAATTTTGGAATGCGTGTTAAAGAACAAATTTCGAGTTCTGCTATGGTTATTGGTGTCAGCTCCATTGCCGTCGCTAGTGCTCTTGCTGGTTACTATGCTTATGATAAACTTAATGAAGTCAAATGCAAGAATTGTAACAAAAAGATAGGTAGAAATCTTAGGAAAAATGGATGCATTCGTAAATGCGCTAACTGTAGCAAAGGCTTTGAAACGAAAGGATGCATGGCTGGATATCTTTGTTGCAAGAAGTCTGAGGATGCGGAAGGATGTAATATGCGCCAGAGATGTAGAATTTGCAATGAGGTAGACGTTAAAATAGAATCACCGGGATGCACAAGATATTGTCAACACTGTGGAAAAGCCTGTTCAGAAAATCCAGGGTGTTTGCAATTAGAGCATGACCCCGAATTATTAAATTAAATCTTAAACGCGTACACCGATGGTCAAAAATTTTTTTAAAATGTATTTTTTAGAAAATATTTTTTATTTGTTATGATCTATCAAAATAATTGATTAAAGTTTATAATTTTAAAGTGACTACGTATATATTTTTATCAAACTTTTTTTATTTCTATACAGTATAATTAGCTTTATCACATAAGCAAAATTTTAGCAAATTGTATCTGGGATATTGAATTAATATTTATAGTATAATATGAAAAGGATAGAGAAAAAATGGAAAATATTGTATATTACATATTTTTAAATTACAGAGTAATAAAGAAAAAACTTAAACACAGACTTTTTTTTTAAAAAAAAATCAACTGATATTAAATGGGCTTTTTTTCTTTATCACAGGGTAATACTTGAACCAATGAAATTGGTTCTTTAATACCCTGCGATTTCAAAAATAAATCCATAGTTTTAAAAGATATAAAAATAAAGGTTTTAATTTTAATTATTAAAATCTAAATACAAAATTTAAATTATATTAATACTTTCAAAAATTTACAGTATATAAATAAATATAAAAAGACCACAAAATCCTAAAATTATTTTATAAAAATCAGGATTTTTTCATTTTTTTTATTTATTTTAGATATTTAAAATATTATAAAACATAAATATTTTTTTAATGCTGACTCAACCTTATAAAACATAAATATACAGTAATTATTTAAATTTTTATTTAATATATATATTTATTTATTTATAGTATATCATATATTATATAATATATAAACTGCAGTAGTGACCTGCAGGCAATGATATTAAAAGTTGGAAGAGTCTTTACCTGAACTTTTAATGGAGCGAAAAATCACTCCCAAAGTTGCACTTAGAGTAATTACTGAGACGAGTGAGC